ACCCCAGGAAGCTGAGGAGAGATTATCAGCATAAAAGACATGAAGTAATTGTTATCTCACTCGGGATTACTTCCAGCCATAGTCATTGTGCACATACGCTCATGAAACCAAGCACAGATTGAAGCAAACAATCTGAGTATGCACATGAACTATAAATATGTTTGAATGTTCATTATAGCATGCAGTTTACAAATATGGTCTTCCTTTAACAGTTACTACAGTATTTCCCATGCTAATGTAGTTCTGAATATTATATTTCAAAGATTCAACAATCCCTGATCCCAGTTTGTGGTCCTTTGATGAAATTTTTATTTCCATTTGATGTAACACAACCAGTACACTACCTTGTTAAATGTGTAACAGTTTTATCTTTTTTTTATTTTTTTGCCACAGAATATGTAACATTTGTTGATTGTTTTACATGTTTTCCCCCTCACTTAAAAATGATAATGACTAAGTGATGGTCAGCTGAAGAAACTGAATTAATAAAGTAAATGGGTTGCTAAGTGAAATAAGAACATATGTTGGAAGATGTTTTGTTTATCCATTCATTTTCAGAAAGTTTTTTTTAGTTAAAATATATTTATTCACATTGCTCTACTATTCACATTATCTCTACTATTTCTCTACTATTCACATTATCTCTACTGAACCTAAGTGTGTTTAGGGGAGATCTGAGGCCGTATGTATAAAGCCGTTCAGAGCAAAATTTTAGTCTTAAGCATGTAACATTCTAAGAACTACATAGTTTTACTTTTATTCCTAGACTTAAAGGTTCCTAAGTGTTAAGGCTAGGTCTCAGCTCCTAAATTATTTAATAGAGCTGGAGAGGTCTCCTAACCTAGTTAGGAGTAACAAGATGGCAGCAAAGAAGAGACACACACTTTCCCATGAAGATATGACATATTGGAGTTATATCATGATATGGAGTTGATAAAACGATACAAACTTGATCGTCAAGATAGTCAATTATTTTTGTTACTGCTCAAGTAAGAAATTTAATAACTTCCACTCTACAAATCAATGCTGCTTAATAACTGCTTAAATGAAAGTAGAAATTAAATTTTTTTTGGCTGGAAAATTGGAAAAATGCAGTTATGCACCGGTGATGAGGGTCTTAAATATTGTGGTACTAACCCCACCAAACACAACAGTTGCCAAAAGTAATGTGTGGAGGTTTTTATTTTTTTTATTTTATGACCCCACATTTCACTTAAACCATCAAAATACCAGGGAAATTGATTTTGCTGCTAGGATTTTGAAAAAAGTCTCAAAAAGGGCGAGGAAGTAACTAAATCTAGTGACAAAATCACTAAATTGGCAACATTGACTACAACATAATCAGTTATTTCGTTGGTCCTCTCTTGTTTTTGCATGTGTTCATAATTTCTTTGTATGACAGCATGGCCAAAAATTATGACCGCATTGGCATGTTTCATTACATTATTATCACAAATAAAACAATTAATTATAAGCAAAGTATGCAATTGTCAGACTCTGTTCCATGTCTCTGTTGTGTTTTCCTCCCCCACATGTTCCAGTTGGATTATTATGCCCATATTTCCTGTTCCTGTCCCTGTTTAGTTTATTTGTTGCCAGGTGTGTCCCGTTAGTTTCTGTGTATTTAAAGTGTGTTCTGCCCCTCATTTCCCGTCCGCTGTTAAATGTTTTCTGGTCTCCTCATTGTCATCCTGCCTGATTTGTATGCCTGTTTATTTATTAAAGGTTTTTTTTTTTTTCATCTTGCATCTCCTCGTTTCCTCGCTGCCCACTCCCTGTGAATCATGACAGAACAGTGGACCTACAAAACAGTAAATGGCGCTCCTTCTCCCGTGTTTTTGTTTTCGTTTTGAAGTCTTTTGTTTTCCCGTTCTTCTCCCAGTGAGGACCACCCTGCTGTCAAGCTCGTCGGCCACTCCTGAGTCAAGTTTGCTGGCCTCTCCGAAGTCAGGCCCGCCCGCCGCTCTGAAGTCCCAGAGCTCGCTCCAGTGTCGGCTCCAGCCCCAGAGCTCGCTACTGTGTCGGCTCCAGCCCCAGAGCTCGCTCCAGTGAGGGCTCCTGTTCCTGAGCTTAGCCCAGTGCTGTTCCCGAGTTTAGCCCAGTGAGGGATCCTGTTCCCGAGTTTAGCCCATGGAGGGCTCCTGTTCCCGAGTTTAGCCCACGGAGGGCTCCTGTTCCTGTGTCTGGCCCACAGAGTGCCTCGGAGCCTGTAATCTTCCGCAAGTGTTTTTTTGGGGGGGGGTTTATAGGGCTCCAGCCATAGAGGCCAGGGCGGGGGCTGGGGCCGCGGCCTCGGAGGCTGCTCTGCCATGGCCTCCTGAACTGTCTGCTCTGCCATGGCCTCCTGGACTGCCTGCTCCGCCATGGCTCCCCGAGCTGCCTGCTCCGCCATGATGCCTCGAACAGGTATCGCTCTGGAGGCCCGCCGTCTTGAGGGATCCTGTTCCCGAGTTTAGCCCATGGAGGGCTCCTGTTCCCGAGTTTAGCTCACGGAGGGCTCCTGTTCCTGTGTCTGGCCCACAGAGTGCCTCGGAGCCTGTAATCTTCCGCAAGTGTTTTTTTGGGGGGGGTTTATAGGGCTCCAGCCGTAGAGGCCAGGGCGGGGGCTGGGGCCGCGGCCTCGGAGGCTGCTCTGCCATGGCCTCCTGAACTGTCTGCTCTGCCATGGCCTCCTGGACTGCCTGCTCCGCCATGGCTCCCCGAGCTGCCTGCTCCGCCATGATGCCTCGAACAGGTATCGCTCTGGAGGCCCGCCGTCTCGTGTCTGTCTTCTGTCTTCTGGTCTCCTCGTTGTCATCCTGCCTGATTTGTGAAAAGTGATGTTTAGATTTTTTTTTAATGACCCCACATTTCACTTAAACCGTTAAAATACAAAGGACAAAAAAACACTGACCAGTGTTGCCACTGCTTTCAATTGAAAGTAGCTAAAACTGGTCACTTAATGTTGCTAGAAGACCTCATAAAGGTGAGTTCACTGATCTATATTTATATATATATAGATCAGTGAACTCGCCTTTATGACGTCATGGGAGAGTCTCGGAATGTAGATAACATTTGTCCAAGAAATTTATTTTGTTGCTAGGTTTTTGAAAAAAATCTCTAAAGGGAAGAGATAAAGGGAAGTCCCTAAATCTAGTGACAAAATAACTAAATTGGCAACATTGGCACATTGACTACAACATACGTTATTTACATTTCATTGGTCCTCTTGTTTTTGCATGTCTTCATAATGTCTTTGTATGATACCATGGCCAAAAATTATGACCGTGAAATTTGGCTTGTTTCATTGCATTATTATCACAAATAAAACAACTCACTAAGCAACTATGCAATATGCTTACAAAATCTTGCACATTTTTTTTTAAATTAAGGATGAAAATATGTCAGATTTCCTAGGCTGGACGTCACTTTTGGCCACTACTATATGGCAGTTTATTACATTTTCAACTGACCGTCAAACCATACTGCAAAAACAACTTTTGTGAGGATTGTGGGCTTTCCTGGAGTTACTGGAGCCGTTGATGGAACTCATGTTCACATCATTGCTCTAACTGTAAATGAGGAAACATACCATTAAACAAAGCATTAGTAATAATTTGTGATACTTTTGCACAGTGCAAAGCATTTAAAAAGACATTTAAATTAAAATATTTCAGTCTTAATTAAATGATTTTATTGTAGTTACATTAAACGATTGGTGCTGTTTACATGACCAGGCTCAGTATTGGCTGATTCAGAGGTCGAGGTCGGCCATTTTGTGTTGACATCATTGTAGTCCTTAGTTCACAACACTTAAGTGTCACCTCAGTCAACACTTAAGAATCAGTCTTAGACTTTACTGAAAGTTGCTTTTAGCGTCTTTATAAAAGACTCCTACTCTTAGAAAAGTCCTACTTTTTACTAAGAATTTTTTGACACTTAAGTCAAAGATTTAGACTATTCTTAAGAGCATTTCTGAGAAGTTTTATACATACGGGCCCAGCAATTGTCTATCAGTATGTGTTGCAATTTAGCATTAGAGGACTATTTGTTTGGCCATTTAACAGCAGGTCCCATTCTGACAACTTACCAAATATAATGTGACACATGCCCTGCTGCCATGTGTATTTGTTTTCCAGGGCAATAACGGTGGAAATATTCTCAAGCTTGAAAATGTAATGTATGTACTTATAGAGAAATTAAATTTTAAAAACAAACCCACTGCATAGCAATTGTCTATCAGTATGTGTTGCAATTTAGCATTAGAGGACTGTTTGTTTGGCCATTTAACAGCAGGTCCCATTCTGACAACTTACCAAATATAATGTGACACATGCCCTGCTGCCATGTGTATTTGTTTTCCAGGGCAATAACGGTGGAAATATTCTCAAGCTTGAAAATGTAATGTATGTACTTATAGAGAAATTAAATTTTAAAAACAAACCCACTGAGAAATATTCATTGCTGTAAAAAGCTTGCTCCAGTCTCCCCTATACATAAAAACAAAAGTCTAAACACATTCACAACCAGCATGGCAAAATAATTACATAAATGGAATCAGGCAACATTTTTTATTCCAGAAATTCAGCATTCATGATAATTTAAAATTGTCTATCAGTATGTGTTGCAATTTAGCATTAGAGGACTATTTGTTTGGCCATTTAACAGCAGGTCCCATTCTGACAACTTACCAAATATAATGTGACACATGCCCTGCTGCCATGTGTATTTGTTTTCCAGGGCAATAACGGTGGAAATATTCTCAAGCTTGAAAATGTAATGTATGTACTTATAGAGAAATTAAATTTTAAAAACAAACCCACTGAGAAATATTCATTGCTGTAAAAAGCTTGCTCCAGTCTCCCCTATACATAAAAACAAAAGTCTAAACACATTCACAACCAGCATGGCAAAATAATTACATAAATGGAATCAGGCAACATTTTTTATTCCAGAAATTCAGCATTCATGATAATTTAAGTAAATTTTACATGCATCATGAACACAGTGTAGTCAAAAAAATTGCAAAAACATAATGGTGTAAAACAAACATCAAAGTAACAACAGTTCAGCCTTGTTTATATGGGTGACCCTGTATCTCAGACGTAAGCTTTTGAAGTCTCTGTGTTAGATGGAGCTGCAGTATAGATTGTCTTTGGCTTACCACCTGGGTAGTATGCCCTGTTAAAAAGATATAATGCACAGAAAAAAAACATCAAAAGTTCAAAAGACACTGTAGACAGCATGATTAGAAAAAATAAGGATCTTATATAAAGTACATTTATTGTAAATGGCATGAAATGAGAGACATATCTTAAGTCTGAGATTTACCCTTTTTCTTTTGCTTTAGAGACTCTTTGAAAGGCACTGCACTGGAACGCACCACCCAGTATACACAGGGCTGCACCAGCCCAACCTATGTATAGACCTGTACCCAGCTCAAATCTGCAACAAACAAAGGCAGAGTGTTAGGTGTATGTACCTACTTAACAATATATTGGGGACAAATTAGTACCCAGAAGTGTTCTAAACCTCACAAAACGTCCTTTTGGGGACATTCAGGGATATGCTAATTTGTAAAAATGATATATAAATAAAAACAATTTCTCATTAAATTACTAACAGAGTTGTTGCAATCTCTGTTTTTTGTTGTCTGATGATTGTCTGATTTCCCCATTATTTGTCTTTATTGCGGCTCTACCCCTAAAAGAAAGCATGTACAATCCTGCTCCTGGAGAGCCAATGTTCTGCAGTTGACCTCCAACCTGCTCTAACACACCTGGAAGTTTCTAGTAATCCTGAAGACCTTTTTTAGCTGGTTTAGATGTGTTTAATAAAGGCTGAAATTAAACTCTGCAGGACAGTGGCCATCCAGGTGCGGGATTGGAATCCCTTGCCCTACAAAGTTGTAGGAAAATGAGGGTTCATCCAGGATCAGTGGTATCAGTTCACTAAAGGTACGGAAAGTTCAGATGTCATCAAATCTAACAATATCATTTGACAATACTAATTATTTTAAATGTAGAAAGAGAAAATGTTTTCTCTTTCTACATTTAAAATAATTAGTATTGTCAAATGATATTGTTAGATTTGATGACATCTGAACTTTCCGTACCTTTAGTGAACTGATACCACTGATCCTGGATGAACCCTCATTTTCCTACAACTTTGTAGGGCAAGGGATTCCAATCCCGCACCTGGATGGCCACTGTCCTGCAGAGTTTAATTTCAGCCTTTATTAAACACATCTAAACCAGCTAAAAAAGGTCTTCAGGATTACTAGAAACTTCCAGGTGTGTTAGAGCAGGTTGGAGGTCAACTGCAGAACATTGGCTCTCCAGGAGCAGGATTGTACATGCTTTCTGAATGCTAGTAGAAGCATTGACTTGAGATAGAATGCTTTCAGTGATACTGAATGGAGTGGATCCATCACAGAGCACACCAAAGCTTTTAAAACCAAAGTCAGGCACCAAGTGGGCACTGTAGGGGGGCATGGCTGGTCAATTCTCCTAGTGCTGCTAAGAAATATAATTACCAAGTCATTCCGACCAACCACGGCTGGGTGGGTCATTTCAGTGCAGAGAGAGAAGGGTTTTCCAAGAGAAGGGTTTTCTCTCATTTGAACATCATGAACAAGTTCATTATGGCCTGCAAACACTCTGGTAAGTGGTGTGTTTCCATTGAAAGAGAACCTATCAGTAATGTATGTAACCCTCGTTCCCTGAAGGAGGGAATGGAGACGTTACGTCAGTAGTGACTGACAAATTGGGATCCTCGCTAGAGAGACCAATCATCGTTGAGTGTTAACAAAACAAGCCAATAAGTGTTGGCGTGCGATTTTTGCATCGCGCACCCTGCCCCGCAGCGCGGGTATATAAGGAGAGCGTGTGCAGACGCACATTCAGTTTTTCGCTGAACCCATCCAATCGCGGATTTGGCAACACTGATCCGCAAACTACGTTTCATATAACTCCTCCCAGAACTTCCCGCTGCCCTGTATCTTGGTCTCTCATTGGTTGTAGGTCATCGCCGATGTGTTTTTCAGTCAGAACTCATTGCACACAGCGTGATTGTGAATCGCCGACAGCTCCAGATATTTAGCATGCCAAATATTTCATGGGTGTCGGAGACGTGTCAGCGATTCCCTCAGATCGCGTCTTTGATAATTCACACTGCGTGATTGTCACTCGCGTGAATGAGCACCGATTTGCTTCCGATTTCGGGTATTTGTCTGCGATTTCGCAAAACCTGTCGGTGAGTGAAAAATCGGGCTAAAATCGTGCAGTGTGAACTCGGCATTACTTAGCATAAGCAGCCCGTGACAAGAACATCCTGAGTATGACTTTTTTTCTCGCACTAACAAAACCAGATATTTTTTTATTTTATTTTTTATTTTTTTTTGTCTTGTAGATCTAGAAAGTGTTAACAAGGTTCAAAGTCTCATGCCATCTGGATCAAGTTACCTTTTTTTTTTTTTTTTTATTAAAACTCTTTTGGGCCTAAATGTCGGAGACGTGTCAGCGATTCCCTCAGATCGCGTCTTTGATAATTCACACTGCGTGATTGTAACTCGCATGAATGAGCACCGATTTGCTTCCGATTTCGGGTATTTGTCTGCGATTTCGCAAAACCTGTCGGCGAGTGAAAAATCGGGCTAAAATCGTGCAGTGTGAACTCGGCATTACTTAGCATAAGCAGCCCGTGACAAGAACATCCTGAGTATGACTTTTTTTCTCGCACTAACAAAACCAGATATTTATTTATTTTATTTTTTATTTTTTTTTGTCTTGTAGATCTAGAAAGTGTTAACAAGGTTCAAAGTCTCATGCCATCTGGATCAAGTTACCTTTTTTTTTTTTTTTTTAGCAAACATCATTTGGGCTCAAAAAAAGCCCAAATGGCTTAGAAGGGTTAACCCTTCACAACTTGTTTTTTTGTGACTCTCTGGGACAGTTCACACAGAACAATCTAAATGCAGTAATTATTTGCTATTATTGAGGTGAACTTATTACTTGTTCTTTTTTTTGCAACACACACACACAAAACACTCAATTTATTGCTCTTTATGTGTGTGTTAGTATGTTAAAGAAAAATGTTAATTATAATATTGTGTTATTAATGAACTCTTTACCATCTACCCACCACATCCTGCTATATCCATTTGACACCCCTGTCTGGGATAAAAAAATGTTTTTGTTTTTTTTACATATATTTTTTTTTAATCTGTATATGTAGAACGTTTTCTGTAAGTTTTAGGGCTAGAGTGCGGGTTATGGTTAGTTTACAGTATTTATAATTAGCTGTAGCCTATATGACAACAACAGAAATATATGTAATATCCCTATTTAGATAAGTAAATGTGCATGCATTTGAGTATGTGTGTAAATGTGGGACTTCTCACTTGACGCCACCATAAAATGGGTTATTGAATTCTGCAACAATCCGTGCAGCGTACCAAGATATGGCCACCATAGTGCAAAGACCTATAAGGAATAAAAATATTTTTCTCAGTAACTGTATCATTAAATAGATGCTAAATAGAAGGGGGAAACATATAGACAATTAAACAATAATATAAACTGTTTATGTTCATATACACAGATACTGTAATTCTGCTTACCTGCAAGGATGAAGATAATGCCGCCAATGACCATAGTCTTGCCTTTTGACTCATCTGTTTTTGACCCAATCTTAATGCACTTCAGCCCCATGGTAGATAAAATTATACCGACCAGCCCCAGGATCAGAGCGATGATCATTAATGCTCGGCATGCCTGAATATGAACTAAAAACGAGAAGGACAAAAGTTTAGTTTTTGCTTTTTTTCTGTATAGATTAAAATGAGGATGCGCATGTTACTTTGTTGGGGTGTGCAGGTTTACTGTTAAAATACAATACTTACTTTTGTTGTATCAAAAACAGTTTTTTTCAGCAGCAAATAAAAAATGTAATGACCCCAGTGTCTGCATATCAGAGATTATTTATCATAAATCATTATAGTAGCCTTTGTTGTGACTGGCATTAATGGTCTATTGTTCATATTAGTGATGGGTGCTTAAGAAATACTGCTAATTGAAACTTCAAAATGCATATACATCTTTTGTTTCAAACCAGTGCTTTAGAGTATGCATCAAACTGGCATGATTACAGCAAACAAGACATTTTGTGTTACATGATATACTGTTTCAAAATGTTTTACAATTTCTATGGAGTGCCACTAGGTGCACTGATGTGGTGAACCAATGAATTTGTGTCTAATATGGTTTTAATTGATCTTGGGTCAGTTTTATAATTTAGGTTAATTTTTAATGATAAATACTGACAAACCTTTCATCGAAAAGTTCTTAAAAGAACCATATTTTACTTAATGTGAAAAATCTAAAGAACCTTTTGTGGAATGGAATGGTTCCATGGATGTGAAAGTTTTTTTTTGTGGAACCATAGATGCCAATGAAGAAATCAAGGTGAATAAGTTTTAACAAGTTCTAGGTCCAAGTATAGCTCTTCATGAATACAACAATACAATTACAACCAATTTTTATTTTAATTTGGTTCCTACCTGGCAAATCCAACATGGATTGAAAATCTTGGCAGTTGGCCTTTCCAGAACTGTCCTCACCACAAGCATGCCACAAGTTCTCATAGAGGCGGTTCGAAATGATCACTGTGCCTTGCACGCTAGATATCTTCCAGTAGTCATTAGCCACAGCAAGGCCAGTTGCAATCCACCCGACCAAACACATGAAGAATCCAGTCACTTCTAATGCTGTTGACATTTTTACCCCCAACTTCTCACACAAAGTGAGTGAAAATACAAGAAATACAAAAAATTATTTGCTAAAATAATGTGCTAGAAACTACACTGTCCCTGCTGCTGATACCTGAGTTTGAATTGTTTTTCTGTTGAGCAGCAGGACTTCAACCTTTGCAGAGGGTCATAAAGCCATTGCCGCACCCAAAAACCCACTCAGCTTATGACGATGCTGTTGATAATGGGCGTGATAGTCTAGTGAAACGCATTTACTTTGATAACGCTATTACCATGTTTGGTTTTGTTTCAGAGAGTCTCTTTGAGTGATTATATTGAACCTAATGCAATATTGCATTGAAAATAGAGCCCACAAAACCTGAAAGTGTAATTGGCTGTCTCACCCAATCACCAAATCAACCATCCTTTCATTTATTTTCCAAACTGCTTTTCCTATAGAGTCACGGGAAATCTGGTGCTTATCTCAATGTCTTGGGCCATAGGCAGGAAAACACCCTGGATGTATGGTTAGTCTATCACAGGGATAACACGCGTTACACACTCAGTCAACAAATTAGTGGACTATTATTGAAAGGTGCACTGACTAACAGCACAAATGTACCAATATGTGTGTAATATAAATTTATAGATGATTTTCATATAAATACCATATGAGTGTAATAATGGTGCCAACAGTATTGTATTCCATTATTATTGTGAATGATAATTGCATTATCATTGCTAAAACAGTGATTAAAGTTCAAAAGAGAAACTGAAATGTATTTGCCAAAGACTCATGAAACTGAGAGATCACTTTATGAATGGGAGAGCTGTATAATCCCCTTTCACATTACTTGATGACAGAAGTTGCCAGGATGTGTTTATGTGGGTTATTTCGACACAGAGTCTGTTTTATACAGAAAATCCTATCAAATAGATACCACATCAGCCCAGATAATACAGAAAATATTGTCTCATGGACTGCTTTCCAGATGGTTTTGCTAGCACACAATAAAGCATACTATAAATTATGTCTTATTCTTTGGTTTCACTGTGACCTGGTTTCAACAGATATGGCTTTATGGTTTTATGGCTTGCCAGTTAATGGTTGATTATCATCAGAGCTCAAAGTCCAAACTCTCTCAATAAGCAGATGACTTCAGAGTTTCCCTCTCTCTCTTTTTCATTCCCTACCCATCGTTTTTCCACTCTTGACGTCAATATCTATTGAAAGAAAACTGTTTAGTTTTAGTTTTGTCATATAAACTTTTCATCTTATGTGAGTATACTCATGTCCTCATAAAAGGCTATTAGTATTAGCAGGTGGTGTATCTGTGTCATGTGAGCACTCTGGTAATTTCCAGAACTGTTTATTGTGTTAAATAAGAATCTAAAAACTTGCTTTTAAGCAATAAAACATACCACATAGAATAACCCCTGAGCTATTGCTTTGAGGGGCAATTGGGCAACACTCATGATTACTTTGCTATGTAAATGGGGACATTCTAAAGACAATTTTTTACGTACAGCAAGTTAGTGGTATCACTAGGTTTGCTGGGGCCCCTTGTACACAGGGGCACCATAACAGGTTTGTGTGTGTGTGTGTGCAGTTTTTACTGATTTTTAACATTTATTTTGAAGTTAAAGCATGTTGTTATTAGCGTTATTATTTTTGTATTTTAATACTTATTGTAATTTATGAGGGTATTATTAAATAATTTCATGAAATAGATGTACATTTCAGACCAAGCGTGCCGCACGAGTCCTGAAAAGTGAAGCCGAAGTGTCTCGATCGCCCCCAGGTGACTGGGTGCAGTATAGGTCATAAACCCTGCCCTCTCAATGTAATGTAATGGGACCTGGGACAAACTCAACAATCAAATTACACTTCAAATAATTTTTTTACAAAGACATTTTCTGTCATTTTAGGTAGTTCTTAGCATGCTGATGTATGTTCAAGTGTTCGTTTTTCTAATAGATTTGCTTTTAATTAGTTATTTGATGCTATAAAATGGGGTGTGGTGTCATGATTGTGAGTTTGCGATTGGGTCTGCGGGAGTTTGGGCGGGACTTTGATACTGCGGCTCCACCTCACGATCACTACTGCACAGACTCTGGCTCCGAATTATGTAATTTTCGCAAGATGACAATGGCCATACTGAGTCTGCGTTTTTCTGTAAGGAACTTAAATCCTACCTGGACACTCTTCTTACATCCAACAATACTGATGCCCTTAAAACTGTCTCACTGTGTCATTTGTATAATGTTTTTTTATTTTGTAATCTGTAATTTTATTTTCAGTTGCACTCACCCCTGGCATTGATCTTTTTTTGTATGTTCTTATCTTTTGACAGGAAATGACACACAATTTAAAAGAAATCGGTAATACTTTATTTTTGTCACGGTTATGCTGCTGTGGCGGAACGAAGGAGCACGGAGACGAAGGAGTTGCAATATTCACAGTCTTTATTATATCCGAAATCACAGGAAAACATAGGGGAATCAGGAGACACACACGCAGCATGAGGAGTAGAAGTTTAAGACAGCACGAGGAACTAAGAAAAGGAAACACTTTAAATCAGGGCTTTAAAATCAGGGTTCACTCCGAACAGAATCGATATTTTAACGTTTAGGCGTCTTACCTGGGCTAAGGAGAAGAAGAACTGGACTGTTGCCCAGTGGTCCAAAGTCCTCTTTTCAGATGAGA